AATCATGGCACTTGTGTAATGTGACTTCATTTATTTAAGCATTAAACGTTTCATTTGAAAGCGTTCGAATATTTCCGTGACTCGGTGTATGTTTTTGTTAGGAATTGATAAACAAAATTATACAATTGGAAGAGAAGAACGAGCAACTAGAGGCAATAGTTAATGAAGGGAACGTAAAATTAAAGGATAGAAATACCGTTCGTAAGTCAAAAAAGCCGTTTAATTTTTCAAAGTATGTAAAAATATCTAATTGAGAAAATAAATATTACCATAAATATGTTTTACGTATATAAACTGTTTTAATTTTAGGTGCTTTAAAAGGCATATACTTTTAAAATTCTATTATCTAGGATGGGATTACAATGGCTTTGTTGTACAAGAGAGTATTGACAATACAATAGAGCAGCATTTATTCGCTGCATTAATGAAAAGTTGTTGTATAGAATCACGTGAAACTTCGAATTATCATAAATGTGGCAGAACAGACAAGGGTGTCAGTTCATTTTCACAAGTGATCTCCTTGGATGTAAGAAGCGTATTAAGTGCTGAGAATCAGTACAAGCTGGAGGATGAACTTCCATACTGTAAAATATTAAATAGATTGCTTCCTTCTAATATAAGATGTATCGCATGGTGTCCAGTGCCTAGTGATTTTTCAGCAAGATTTAATTGCAAATTTCGAATGTACAAGTATTTCTTCCCAAGGGGAAATTTGAATATAGATGCTATGGACAAAGCTGTTAAATATACAATAGGAGAGCACGATTTTCGTAATATTTGTAAAATGGATGTTGGTAATGGTGTTACCAATTACATGAGGACAATTATCGATGCCAAAGTATCTACATACTGCCAGAATTTTAGAAATGTCCCAGGTGACTATTATTTTTCAATCAATTATAGTTAGTCTAATGTTATATTTATTGATCCACTTGTAGATTTAGAATACATTATGTCCAGTGACATGTATTATTATTAACTATCAAGTCATCCCATAAGTAATGTCGTTTCTTGTATTACTTTAACCCTTTCGAGCGAACGAGATGCCGCGTGAAAAGAAAATTTTAATTACCTTCAAACGCAAATATCTCGAAATTGAACGAAGGGAATGATTAAGGTCGTTCAATTTGTTTTTTCTTTGTCTACAAGGATATTGAAAATATATACATATATACAGGGTGGTCCACGCAACTTGTTCACCCTGAATAACTTCTAAAGTGGAATTATTCGTTAATTATTAAGTTTACGACTAATAAAGATCAGTACTTTTTTACTCAAAATTTAACGCTCTTCGATATTTTGGCATGAAAAATATAGCACTTAATTTAAAAAAACGAAGTTGATCTTGAAATCACCGAAACGCCTCCACCTAAAAAAAAGATAATGGTTATACATAATGCATCCCTCCAAACCATACATTTTTATAAAAAATTTTTTCATACAATGGATACTTTAGAAGTTATTCAGGGTGAACAAGTTTCGTGCACCACCCTGTATATGTATACATGTATCATTTTTGAATTATTAACGAAAAACACTGGCCAATCGGAGCGCGCGTAGAGCTTGCGCTCAGGGACACAGAACAAATGCGTACGCGTTAAAAACGACCTTCGCTATTTTCTTCACGATTCCGACTAATTGCAGTTTTTTCAAAAATTTATACAAATGTCGGAATGACGGCAAAAACCCATTTCTCTAAGCCTTATAAAAATAGCGGTGCAAAGTCAAATTTTTTTAACAGCGATCGATAACCGAGAAGTCACGTGTACGCGTCGTTCACGATAGCACGCGGGTGAATCTCTGTTCGTCCGTCCCTGAGCCCGGGCTCTACGCGCGCTCTGATTAGCCAGTGGTTTTTGTTAATAATTCAAAAATGAAGCTTCCAACAACATTTTGGTAAAGGAAAAAGTTGTTCAGAGTCACCTCAGGAACCCCCCATTTCCGGGTGTTCGAGGAGTTACGGGACACCCTGTATATAGGGTTCCACTTAAAAAAATAACACTGACTTTGAAATTTCGTAAAAAAATGATCTTAAAAAAAAAAACCGTTTCCATGATTACATATGCCCCCTGAAATAGTGTAACTTTGTCCCGAGAAGTTTTTTCATACGACAACAAATAAAGCAGATATTTAGCCACCTTGTATATTTGCGTCTGTGTGTGTATTTATTTATTTATTTCTTTATTTACAGGTTGTGATATGTGTCAGTTGATTATAACAAGTCAAGCATTTTTATGGCACCAGATCCGCTGTTTAATGGGCATTTTATTACTTGTTGGTCAAGGAAAAGAAAAACCAGAAATTATTTTAGAACTTTTGGATATTGTAAATTGTCCTCGAAAACCACAATACAATTTAGCACATGAATTGCCGTTAAACCTTTGGTACTGTGAATACGATAATAAGGAGTGGTACATAGATAAGGATGAATTATTAACTACGATGAAAATTCTGCAAAGGGATTGGTCCTTGAATACAATAAAGTATGTGCAATGTTCCTCGCGTAAATAATTCCAAAGAAATAAATTAGAACGCATTATGTTATAATTTATACTTGGATGAAATATGTTTAATATTCGAGTATACATTATATATTTTGCACCCGTTCCTTGTCGGTGGACACGAACATTTTGTTAGATGTTGACTTGAGTTCGTATGTAGGAAATAATTGGAATACATCGAAATTCATGCATAAATACGTTAAAAAATACAACGTAGTCAACGAGTCCAAATATACTGCGCTATACATGGTGTTCGGAGAAGTATTCAATAATCTTCGCCTAGGTGTTCTTCAGCAGGTGGTTCTGAACAAAAAATGTCATGTATAGTATAGGTCTGTCCCATTTCGTTAATAAATTATATCGATAATAATATATTAAGTGTACTTACAGTGAAACGATAATTTTGACGTATTTACTTTGTCTTACTTTTGATCTATGGGTTATTTAATTTACAGATAACGTTCAAAATTCTAAAGATATTTGGAAAAATAATGAATTAATGATGAATTGCATTGAAATAATGAAAAAAACAATTTTTTTTTTAATACCTTCATTTAGAGGGGCCTACAGGCTGATTGCAGTATACATTTTGTAGGTCATATTTTTTTCATTATTATCAAGGTCACCTTTAGTTGTTAAATGGAATCCTATAATATTTTTTCACCTGGCTTTTGGCGGACAAAGACACAAAGAGACAAATGCAATAGATATATGTATGTGCCTCTTTTGTCTTTAGAACAGGAAAAATGGAGGAAAAATGTATTTTAGAAAAATGCTGCACATGCTAGACACAAACGCGACATTGTTAGGCGATCAAATTGGTTTCACCTTTTGCATAACGTTTATAAATATTGAAATGTTTCATGTCCATTATTAATAACTCTCGAAGACGTAAGTTAGTGTATTTGCGGTCTTTCGAAAAAGTAGTTACAGTGAGTCAAACAATTGATCGCATACCCTTAAAAAAAGAATAACCTTTTTAAAATTGGACCAAACGACTTGAACTTTTTTGGGAAATTAAAAGAATTAGTTTACTTGATATAAACATAAGATAACTTCAATTGTTACAGGTCGGTCATGATTGAGAATATGCTGTCAGATTTGGAAGATTTAACGAACTGCAAAGACTTGAATTTTCAGAGCGATTGCTTATTACTTGGTGCACAATCCAAAGTGTATCAGTCTTTAATGAAACGGGTAACCTGTGGTCGGTATTTAAGTCCGTTAATGTTTTCTTTCTAAATTCTTAAAAAGAGTAGAAAGTATTAAAAACGTAACATTTTTTTTTTTTTACAGAAAGCTTAGAGAAAAAAATAAAGCATTATGAAAGTAAACGGAAGAAAATAGGGTGATCAAATTGAATTCTGATTTAATAAAATTGAATCAGACCCAAAGCACATTATTGTTTATCTTCAAAAAGTGACAACGATAAATAAACGTACCGACTATACCAATGGATTTTAATTTTATTCGTCTGTTACACACTTCTATTTTACACTGTTCTATAGTGAAGCACATAAAGCGTGACAAATGAATGTTATCAAAAATATTGGTGATATTAAAAAAAAATGTTATTAGGCAGAATTAAAGTATTTTAGAAGGCACGTTTCTCGGCGTGATTTACTTCCTTGAGTGTGAAGATGTCAAAGATATTTCAAGGTTGTCAACTTTCTTTTTAATGGAATTGTATATTTATTAACATACATGAGTGTAGAAATTAATATGTATACATAATATACTATAGTATAT